TAAAAACTCTCAGCAAAGTGGGAATAGAAAGAGCATACCTCAACATGATAAAGGCCATATATGACAAACCTACAGTGAACATCATACTCAATGGGCAAAAACTAAAACCATTTCGCCTAAGAATAGGAACAAGAGAGGGACGTCCCCTTTCACCACTCTTATTCAACACTAGAGGCCTGGTGCACAAAATTAGTGCACTTCGAGGTGGGGGCTCCCCTCAGCCTAGCCTGTGCCCTCTCACAGTCAGGCAGTTGGACATCCTTAGCGCTGCTGCGGAGGCGGGAGAAGCTCCCACCCCGCTGCTGTTATCGCCAGCCATGAGCCCGGCTTCTGGCTGAGTGGTGCTCCCCCCGTGGGAGCACACTGACCACCAGAGGGCAGCTCCTATGTTGAGCATCTGCCTCCTGGAGGTCAGTGCACATCATAGCAACCGGTCATTCCGCCTTTCGGTCGATTTGCGTATTAGCCTTTTATTATATAGGCTAGTACTGGAAGTGCTGGCCATAGCGATCAAACAAGAAATAAAAGGCATCCAAATTGGAAAGGAGGAAGTAAAACTCTCATTATTCACAGATGACATGATATTGTGCACAGAAAACCCTAAAGACTCCACCAAAAAACTACTAAATTTAATAAATGAATTTGGCAATGTAGTAGGATACAAAGTCAATACCCAAAAATCTGTGGCTTTTTTATACACCAACTAAAGACCCAGTGCACGACATTCATGTACTGTAGGGGGTGTCCCCCCTCAGCCCAGCCTGCGCCCTTTAGCAGTCCGGGAGCCTTTGGGGGATATCCGACTGACGGCTTAGGCCGGGAAATGGGCCTAAGCTGTCAATCAGACATCCTTAGTCAGCCAAGTTTGTAGCTGAGCGGCACTCCCCGTGGGAGTGCACTGACCACCAGGGGACAGTTCCTGCAATAAGCATCTGCCCCATGGTGGTCAGAGCGTGTCATAGCGACTGTTCTGCCGTTTGGTCAATTTGTATATTACCCTTTTATTATATAGTATAAGGAATTATCAGAAAGAGAAACTAAACAAACAATCCCATTTACTATTGCACTTTAACCAAAAAAGTAAGATACTTAGGAATAAACTTAACCAAGGCAAAAGACCTGTACTTGGAAAACTATAGGATGTTGAAAAAAAGAGAAGATATAAACAAGTGGAAGAATATACCATGTTCATGGATTGGTAGAATCAACATCATTAAAATGTCCATACTACCCAAGGCAATCTACAGACTCAATGAAATCCCTATTAAAATGCCACCTGCATATTTCACAGATCTAGAATACTCAAAACATTTACATGGGATCAAAAAAGATTCCAAACAGCTGCAGCAATTTTGAGAAAGAAAAACAAAGTTGGAGGAATCACAATACCAGATTTCAAGTTATACTACAAAGCCACCATAACTGACCCCAGAAATCGATATAAGCCATTATGTTCAATTAATATTTGAGAAAGGAGGCAAGAGCATACAATGGAGTCAAGACAGTCTCTTCAATAAATGGTGTTAGGAAAATTGGACAGATACATGTAAAAAATGAAACTAGACCACCAACTTGCACCATACACAAGAAAAATGTCAAAGTGGATGAAAGACTTAAATGTAAGTTGTGAAGCCATACAATTCCTAGAAGAAACCAAAGGCAGCAAAATCTCAGACATCTCTCACAGCAATATGTTTACAAATACATCTCCTACAACAATGGAGAACTAAGGAGAAAATAAACAAATGGGACCACATCAAAATAAAAAGCTTCTGCACAGCAAAAGAAACTTTCAACAAAACAAAAAGGGAGCCCACTGCATGGGAGAACATATGTGGCAATGGTACATTTGATAAAGGGTTAATATCCAAAATATATAAGGAACTCATACAACTTAACAAAAGGAAGACAAACAATCTAATTTTTAAAATGAGCAATCGACCTAAATAAACACCTTTCCAAAGAGGACATACAGATGGCCAAGAGACATATGAAAAAATGCTCAAAGTCACTGATCAACAGAGAGATGCAAATTCAAAAGAGTTATCACCTCACACCTGTAAGAATGGCTACCACCAACAAATCAACAAATGACAAGTGCTGGCGAGGATGTGGAGAAAAGGGAACCCTCGTACACTGCTGGTGGGACTCCTC